GAGCGGTTCAGAACTGCCCAGGGGTCTGGGGCGACGCGTCGCCGGCGATCCACGGGGACAACGACTGAGAAACGCACACTGTGTGCCGGACCAGCTGGAACACGCGCTCCGGACGCGGCAACCGCGAGCGCCGCATGCCCTGAGAACCCAGCAAGGCTGCCATCCCTCGGGGGCGATCTTGGTCCGCTCCTTTGTTTGTTCCTCCGACGCCGCACCCTGCCAGACTCGGCTGGATGCCTTGCGACCGGGCCCGATGACGAAACTACCGCTTTCGCGGCACAGGATACCACTGCACAGACAGCCAACACCCTTCGAGTTGTGCCCTGAGCAGGGACCGACCGTCCCGGCATTCCTGTAGTCCGACCACGAAATGTTAACTTAGAGCCCGACAATGTTCTAATAACAGAAACAGTGTTCTCAGAACGGAAACCCGATGGGTTAGAACAAGACAACCCCAGCCAGAAATGATCTCAGAACACTTCGTGGGAACCATAAGAGGTTCTAAGAACATCGTTCGGTGGGGCTATAGGCGAGCCGGGACGCTTCGCCACTGCTTGAGTGCCGGAGCCGGGAGGGGGCGCCGAGACAGCTCCCGCCGGCCTCCCGGCGGCTTCCACCCCGCGCGGGGGCGGCCCGCGCTCTGCCTCCGCCGCCCGGGCGCGCCGGCCCCGTCCGCCGCCTGCCGCCGCCGAGGGAGAGGTACGCCAGAGCTCCCCGTCCCTCGCAGGCGAGACCCTCCCTGAACACAGCGGGCGACGCACTGGGGGGAACCAAAAGGTACTTTCGGGCTGGGCGGAAGGGGGGGGATAGCAAAGGGGGGGGGTGAGAATCAGCTCACGTAGCTGATTTTTCCGGCGCCTCCCGGCGCCGGGAGGCGCCCATCTATCGAGGAATGGGCCCGGCGGCGGGGCGGAAACCAGCTGCATGCAGCAGATTTCGTAACCCCCCCTTTCCCAACCCCCCGCTTTCGTCCGGCCCGATACTTATCGGGGAGACGCAAGACTCGGGCACGGCGGACTCGGGTTGGCCGGACGGGGGCCACCATGAAAAAGGCGAGGCCCAATCTGAAATTTGGCGCGGGCTCCCGCTGCAGGCAGCCCACGAAAACGGGACCGTCAAAATCCAGGACGCACTCGTCAAAAGAAAGTCCGCAAATCCGAGTTCCGGCTTATTCGAGTCTTACGTTTCCCCGATACTTACGGACATCTCTGCTCCCCGGACCTCTCCGGGGGTGCGCTCTGACCAACGCTTTGAGGCAAATCCAGTCGCGGCGACGAGGGCCTCCCAGGAGGCCCGACAGGGCCAAAACTCGAATAGGGGATCGACTTCAGAATTGACTTACTCAAAAATTGATTTACCCGCCAAGTGTACAGGAAGCGCGTAGAGTGTCCGTAGGTCTGCGGGACAATACGATCATTTGCTTCGAGATTTGGCAGGGAAAGCTGATGGGGGGGTTAGTCAATGTTGTAGCCGATCCGCTGCTCGACAAACGAGACAAGCGTAGCGGCATTGGCACCCCCTCCTCCTCTGCTGAGCATCGTTTGTCCGATCCCTGTCCCCAGCGGCATGGCCTGGGCCCCATTGGCCGATTTCCCCCCCCCACATGGGGATGTAGGCCGTGTCCATCGGGCTTCGAGGGGTGCATCCCCAACTGGGGGGGGGAATTTGGTGTGGGCCTCGAAGGGGATGGGGATGGGGATGGGGATAGGGGATTGGTTAAACGATGCCGATCTGAAGGAGGGGGAGGAGGAGGAGGAGGCAGAGGGAGAGGGAGGAGGAGGAGAAAGGAGGAGGAGGAGAGGAGGGAGGGAGGAGGAGAGGAGGAGGAGGAGGAGGAGGGGGGAAGGAGGAGGATGAGGAGGAGGGGGAGGAGGAGGAGGGGAGGAGGAGGAGGAGAGGAGGAGGAGGAGGAGGAGGAGGAGGAAGGAGGAGGGGGGAGAGGAGGCAGGAGGAGGAGAAGGAGGAGGAAGAGAGGAGGAGGAGGAGGAGGAGAGGAGGAGGAGGAGCAGGAGGAGGAGGAGGAGGATCTCAGCTGCGTGCACGGCCTGCGCCGCCCACGGAGAGGCCAACGGGCGCCGCTGCCGGGCCCCCGACGCCGCGAGCCGCGCGTCCGCGGAGGGCGCCTCCCCGGGCGCGGGGCCGGCCGCCTCCGTGGGCACGCGCCCGCTGGCCAGCGCCTCGATCTCCTGCCCGCGCGAAGGGGGGGGGCCGATCCGCGCCCCCCCAACTGAGCATGTTCTGTGGGAAACACACACACACACACACACACACACACACACACACACACACACACACACACACACACACACACACACACACACACACACACACACACAACACACACACACACACACACACACACAAACACACACACACACCAACACACACACACACACACACACACACACACATCACACACACACACACACACAACCACAACCACCACACACACACACACACACACACACACACACACACACACACACACACACACACACACACACACACACACACACACACACACACACACACACACACACACACACACACACACACACACACACACACACACACACACACACACACACACACACAAAAAAACAACAACAAAGGATCAACAACAAAAACAAAAAAACAAAAAACACAAAAACACACAAACACAAAACACACATACACACACACGGGCCGATCGGCGCCCCTCCAACGGAGCATTTTCTTAAGGAGTGGAGGGCTCGGGGCGAAGTCCATACAGGCCTCCAACGGAGCATTGTCTTAAGGAGTGGAGGGCTCGGGGCGAAATCCATACAGGCCTCGGAAAGGAGTGGAGGGCTCAGGGTGAAATCTGAAGGAGTGGAGGGCTCGGGGTGAAGTCCATACAGGCCTCGGAACACATTAGCGAACACTCGTGCCACATTCATCTGTCAGCGCCCCCCCCCCCCCAATGTCCAGAGTTGGCGGTGGGTCTGATGGGATGCACTTCGACCGCAGTCTCCCCCGCGCGTGCCAACATTGAGTTTAGGGGGGAGGGGGGGTGTTCAGTAATTGTTTCCATCTACCGTATGGGCTTTTGCACCTCGAAAATCAATCCGTCTTGTGATGCACCTTTTGCAGATTCAAGCCTCGAACATGCATCGGAAGGGCATTTCAGATTTCCCACCCTGCCCTCTGCCCAAAGAGTCAGGGGTCCTTGTATGTCCAATCAATATCTCGGCGGATGTCAGGGAGGAAAGGCGACGGCACCACCAGCGCGAGCGGCGCCAGGGAGGGCCATCTGGGTGGTGTGCTCTCGGCCCCCCCCTCTCGTCCGAGATGGCCCTTTTCCCCAGCTCGGGGAGGCATTAGAAGCCTCCTAGACGGGGCCGGAGTTAATTGGGTCGGAGGATGGCGTCGCATCGCCGATGCATCGTCGATGCATCGTTGATGCACCAGCGGTGCATCGTCGACGTCGGCGATGCATCGGCGACGTCGACGTGAAGCAAATCGGGCCCCACACCTGCAAAGCACCGGCGATGCATCGGCGATGCGGCGCGATCCTCCGACCCCATCTACTCCGACCCCATCGAGGGGACCTAGACTCTCTTGGGGTGCGCTCTGACCAGGATCTAGAAGCGAATCCAGCGGTGGCGACGAGGGCCGACCCCATCTACTCTTAAGTCGGGCGTGTCCCCCTACAGGGGGATTTTGGGCGAAAAAATACAAAATATACAGAAAATGCCCCCCAATGCTCAAAAATAGTAGAAACAATCGTCCCCTGACCATGTTTTGCCTATTTTTGAATACTCCCCCTCTAGAGGGACACGCCCGACTTAAATCTACTCGGACCCCCTCTGGGAGGCCCAGAGGCGCATCGTGGACCCCGTGGCTGCGGGTGGCCCTCTGGGTGGTGGCATCGCCTCTCCTCCTCCCGGCGGGAGCGGCCTGAGGCAGAGCTGGCGCGGGGGCGAGCGCGCGCGCGCGACAGAAAGACGAATCATCATCATCATCATCATCATCATCATCATCATCATCATCATCATCATCATCATCATCATCATCATCATCATCATCATCAGCATCAGCATCAGCATTAGCATCAGCATCAGCATCAGCATCAGCATCAGCATCAGCATCAGCATCATCATCATCATCATCATCATCATCATCATCATCATCATCAGCATCATAATAATCATACGGATGAAAATAATAAGAAGAAGAGGGCGAAGAAGAAAGGTGCGCCTTTCGGAGGAGGCATACCCAAACATCCCGCGCATCGGATGCTCGCATCGGCTCCCGGAGCATCGAACACATCGAGGCGGCAAGCTCTTCATCATGTCTGGCCCATGGGCTCGGGCCTCGGGGCCGCGCCCGGCTCCAGCCGGCCCTGGCCGATGAGGGCTCGGGGAGGCGCGGGCCTCGGGTGCCGGGGGGTACTCGGGATGGCCTCACGGGGCCAGCACGACGAGACCCAGTCTGTATACAACGAACTCCCGCTGCAGACCATAGCGTAACGCTCTCACCGCTCCTCCCCGTTGTGCGTCTCTGGCACTGCCATTGTGATGCGCGCAGGCTACTGGTGCTTCTCGTCGATGTCGTCGTCGTCTTCGTTGTTGCCTTCGTTGTCGTCGTCGTCGTTTCGTCATCCCACGAACACGGGACGGGCAACACACATCCAGGACACGCTCGTCGAGGAGCGTCGGTAGATCCGAGTGCTAGCGCACCCTCGAGTCTTCCGCTTCCCCGATGCGGGTGAATCGAGCCGACTCGACTCGAACTGCACTCGCGGGCCCAGCCCGCGGGGCGCACCGCATCGAATCGGATCGTCGGCAGCCCTGCCTGGCCCAGGACCGAGGCCCCAGGAGGCCCCCCCAACAACAGAAAATCCGAAGCGTCCCAAAAAGCCTCGTCGAGGCCTCCGCGCACGGCTGCGGGCGGCACCCTCCCTGCCTCCCTTCGTCCCTCCGGCAGCCGACGGACAGTGGGCAGCCGACGGACAGTGGACGCCTGTCCCAGGGCGGCTGGAAGTCTCAGGGCAACGCCTGGGAGGTTTGGGGAGGCCTCGGGGACCACTGGGAAGCAGCCTTCTTGGGGCGCGACTTGGGATCGTGTCAGGCTTGATCTTCGGGCGCGACCCCTTTGAGAAGAGCCCCATCCGCGACACTCCCCTCACACACGAGGTCCCCTCAGGCCACCTGCCCACGCCGTAGATCGGATCGGACGACAGGGTGGGTTCGCAAAAGGGGGAGTTAAGGAATCAGCTCACACGGCTGATCTGTTGCGGCCGCAAGCGCCAGGGTATCGAGAAAAACGTCGGGCGACGAGGTCGAGACTAGCTGCATGCATCAGATGTCGTACCCACCCCTTTCCCTGTCCACTCCATTCGTCCCAACTGAATGGTGCGAGGCGAGGGGGTCGTCGTGGGAGGGGTCGGTTTGCCAATGGTCGGTCGAGGTGGGTTCAAGAGTTATAAGCAAGACCGCTGGAGGCCCGTGTCTCCACATCGAACGGCTGGTGCAAGAAAAGCCATCGGACACCCGAGGACAACACAACGAAATCTCCTGGTCAGCGTCCGCCGGAAGGCCACCCCTCCATTCCCCTCCCGTTCTCGTGCGTCCGCTGCATAAGCTGCTGAAACGGGGGCGATGCTTCTGCTTCTTGGCTGCGCCCGTGGAGGAGTCCGCGGGCGCCGGGTGGACAGCTCCCGAGGAGGAGGAGGAGGAGGAGGAGGAGGAGGAGGAGGAGGAGGAGGAGGAGGAGGAGGAGAGGATGAGAGGAAGAGGAGGGGGAGGCGAGGAGGAGGAGAGAAGGAGGAGGAGGAGGAGGAGCAGGACGAGGAGGAGGAGCAGCAGCAGGAGGAGGAGAAGAGGAGCAGCAACAGGAGGAGGAGCTTTCACCGCTGGGAGCGCAGTTCTCTCCCCACCCAATAGAGGGCGGGGGGGTCCTCCTTGATGGGCCTGTTTTCCACCACCACCACCACCATAAGTCGGAGGGGGGAGGGGGCCCCCTCCCCCTCTTCCTCCTCCTCCTCCTCCTCCTCCTCCTCCCCTCCTCCTCCCTCCTCCTCCTCCTCCTCCTCCTCCCCTCTCCTCCTCCTCCTCCTCCTCCTCCCCCTCCTCCTCCTCCTCCTCCTCCTCCTCCTCCTCCTCCTCCTCCTCCTTCTCCTCCACCTCCTTCAGCCCTCCAACTTATGGTGGCGGTGGCAAACCAAGCCCATCACTCCTGGTATAGCTCCAGGGCTGGCATCCAGCCGCCCCCCAAAACGAGCTGCCTGAGGCGCCCGTGCTCTTCTAGGGGGCCGAGGCGCCGTCGAGGCGCCAGGCCTGCCTGCGCGCTTGCCTGCGAGGCCCGTGCCCCGCGGCCCAGCAGGCCAGGGATAAAACCGCATCGCGGAGGGGCTCGCAGACGCCAACAGTAGGTCGGGCGTGTCTCCCTACAGGCGGATTGAGGACGCACGCCACACAGAAGCCAAAGCATGCCCCCGAAGTGGCCACACATAGTTTTTTAATCGTCCCCAGACTCTTTGTTTGACTATGTTTGAATATTTCTCCTGTAGAGAAACGTGCCCGACGTAACGCTAACAGGTGAGGCAAAATTCAAAAGGCCTCCTGGATCACTCAACCTCGCATCGGGAAATCGGATCGACTCGGGATGTGCGTCGGATTGGGCCGCATCGGCAAGGAATCGGAATCGGATCGGAAAGGCTGCACGAGGATGCACAACAACGCGGAGCAGATATCGGGCCGCGTGTCGTCAGATCGAGCGGGCCAAAATCAATGTCGAATCGGACTGGTCAGATCGAACTTGAACCTGCGCTGGCACATTTCTGCCCTCTGAATGTGATTTCTTTGGCGGCATCGGTGGCCAGCGCAAGCCTCTGCATGCCACGACGCCTCACGCAGGACCGCCCCGGTTGCCGCGTTCTCTTACAGCTACCGTGCCGCCACGAGGAACGCTGACCGAGGACCGCAGGGACTCTTGTGGCCACGGCGAGCCTCGGTCACGAGCAGGGTCCTCGGCCTAGATCCAGGAAGCGGCGAGAAAGCCGGAGCCCCTCCTGATCCTGGCGCGGTCCTTGTCGCAGCGTCTTGGCTGCACGATGCCCTCGGGAGCGGGCGATGCCACGCCGTGAGGCGGCCTAGATGAGAAGGGCAAGATCTATGATCGGTTTCGTGATGCTACAAAGAGGAGGGGGAGGAGGACGAGGAGGAGGAGGCCGGCAAAACATGCATCCGCCATGTGCGGATGCACCGGTGAGGACGACCTGCCCCCCTCCGAGGTTACTCCTGCCGCGCATCCTCCTCCTGCCCCCCTTCCTCTCCACTCCCCCCGCTGGAACCTGCCGAAAGCGCCCACAACCCAGGCATCCAGCCCCGCCCCCCCTGAGATCCGACGTCGCGAAAAGCACAACGCCTAGAAAATCACGACACATCGTGACCTCCAGATTCAAAGCATCTCTCCAGCTGGAAAGATCCGAGAAGGTCCGACGGGCCTTGGCAGAAACAGCTGGAGTAAAGGAGTGAGAAAATAAAACACCTGGACGTCAGCGCACGCCCCTAAAACCCTACGAGAACATCCGAAGACCCGACCTTAAACGCCGTGATTTGATGTCCCAACGTGGACAATCAGAGGTCTGGACTTTTTTCCCAGGGCCGGTTATTCTGATCCCCAGTTGCCTTTTGACGGTCCAGCGCCCTATTAAGGGCAACCGAAAGCCGAACATCTGCAAAACAGAACCCACAAACTCGTTGTGCGTTTTGTTTCACCAGTCGGGTGTGTCAAACATGGAGGTCTGGAAGAGGGGGGCTGGCGCATGATGCATGTGCGCGAAGGGAAACGCATCGGAAGAAGATGAAGAAGAAGATGATGAATCATAATAAGAAGAAGAACAAGAAAAGGTGGTGGTCTCGGAGATACAATGATCCCAGCCATCACGCCCTCCCCCCCATGGTCATGAACCCCTCTTCGCCGCGCCCGCATCCGACCCGACCCAGGCACAGACCTCCGATGTCCCGAATTCTTTCAAAAAATGCGGGCCCCGGAGAACTGCACCGCTTCCCCGCGACGGCTGTCTTGGTCCTGGCTTTGTTTTTGTTCGACGGTGCCGCTGCCAGGCGAGGGAGCCCAGATGCCGACAGCATCAGAGAAACACAAAGTCTTGATGCTTCCACGCGCTGGAGGTCTGGGGAGGACCCCCGCCAGCCTCCGAGGTGTCTCCGTTTACCAGCCTGGAACATATCCCTATCCCTATGCTGGGCATCTCCTCATCACGATGCCAATCTTAGGGATTCCCATATGTTTTGAGGGCGCATCCCTAAGATTGTCATCGCCTTTTGGCATGCCGATCTTAGGGATAGGGATACGCTCGAGGCTGGTAACGACAGCCTCCGAAGTGCCTTCGTGGCCCGCGGGTCCTGCAGGTGCTGGGCCGCGCTGGACGCGACGCCGAGGCCCTCGAGCTCCTACCGCATGCGCGCGCAGCGCGCGCCGACTGTAACTTTAGGGAGCAAGCCCTGCACATTCCTGTACGCCCTTCCTAAAAACGATCAAGGACGAATGCACCCGATGCTAGCCAACGTAGACCCCAAACAGTGTGTTCTACCGTGCTGCGCAGTGCACTCTATGCGGTGCAAGCTCTGTGGTGCAATCTGTCTGGTGCAACGTACGTGGTGCAATGTATGCGGTGTTCCATATGCGGTGCAATCTACGCATCACAATAGATCCACTGCAACCTTTGTGGTGCAGTCGGAAATATGTGGTGCATCGTATGTGAAACAGCTCTGCGGTATAATATATGGTACAATTCTAGGAGGTGCAAGCGATGCTGTGAGATTTGTGCGGTGTAATCGCACTGGTGCAGTATTTGCAGTACAGCCTACGAGGTGCAACCCACGCGGTGCCACGTATGTGGTGCAACCTCTGTGGTGCGACCTATTGGAGTGCAATCTATGTCGTGCCGTCTACGTGGTGTCTATCATGTGCAGCGTATGTGGTGCAATTAATGTGAGTCCGCAACGAATGGTCGACCCCACTGCTCACTGCTCGCGCAACCATCCCGCCCACCCGCCCGCAACCTGGTTCGAAAAAACCTTGCAGCGGCGATTGTATGTTGGTATTGGTTGGTGCATCTCTGCGGCCGCGCCAGCCCTCGCATGCTCGCGCGCGCCGAAGCCAGCTTGTGCGGCGCGACCTGCGCGGCCGAAGTGGCGCTGACCGCTGGGCACATTTCAACGGGCATTTTGGAGCGAGTCGGCGGCTTGGGCGGTAGCGGTACCACGGCAACGTCGACAACAGTAGGCGCGATGATGCCGGTGGCGACGCTGGTTGACGATGATGACAATGACGGCGGCACGGCCAGTGACGGCGCCAATGCTGATCACGCCGACGACGATGACGGCTTTCTCGGGTCGGTGGTGAAGGTGCTGGAAAGAGTTCGACGTGCGCGCGCGGCCGACGCGTGAGTGGCCCGCATGGTATTGCTTGGCACGGATCGTGCTCCCCAGCACGCTCGCAAGGGCGTTCAACTGATTCCGACGTGCTGCGCGAGAGGCCCGTTTGGCCGAAGTTATTGACGATGTTGAAACAACCATGTGTTTTCTCGAGAATTCGCAAAAACACAAGCGCAGGTTTCTCGTTTGTTTGGGAAATGCGTGTTGCGAAGTCATATGGTTATTATACGTGGAAGGGGGCGCTCGAATTTGAAATCCTTACGAAACCTACGGTGTCTGTAACGGTGTTTGTATGATTCCGCGACGTCGTGCGCGCGCATTTCGTGCGCATTATATCTCCTGCAAAAGATGAAAAAAAAGGGGGTGGCGACACTGGCCTGCTTAGGATGGGACGAACTCATATTTAGGATGGGATATAGGGAAAAATCGTATGTACACTGCAGTACGGAAACAATCCGGGGGGGGGTAAGAATCGATATTTCTGTCAAAAATCTCGCAGTGAATGTTCGGTTCCACAGATCGCGCAATCATCCCACCCACCCACCCGGGACTGAAATTGCAAAACCCATGCGACGGCGATTGCGATGAGTGCTTGGCGTTGGCTGGTGCCTCTGCGGCCGCGCTAGCCCGCGAATGTTCGCGCGCGCAGCGGCCAGTTAGTGCGGCGCGACCGGCGCGGCTAGGGTGCCCCTACCGCTGGGCACTTCCCAACGGGCATTTCAGTGCGAGTCGGTGTTTCAGGCGGGCGCGGTATCATGGCGACGCCGACAATGGTAGACACGTTGATGAGAGTGACGTTGCTGGTGGCGATGGTGGCGATGACGACGGCAAGGCCAATGGCGGTGCCCATGTTGATCACGCCCGCCGATACCGATGACGATGTCCACGCGTCGGTGGTGGAGGTATTGGAAAAGAGTTCGACATGCGCGCGTGGCACACGCGCGCGAATGACCCGTGTCCCCCCCAACACGCTCGCAACGGCGTTTGGATGAGTTCGACATGCGGCGCGAGAGGCCCGTCTGGCAGAATGTGCTGACACTGTTGAAGTTGCTCTGGGATTCTTAAGCATTCGCCAGAACGCGCGCGCAAGCTTTGTGAAAACTTATATTGCCACAACATGTTTTGTTTACGTGTGTTCGGGACACTCGTTTTTGAAATTCCTACGGTATGTGCTGTTGTTTGTTTAAAAAATGTTGGCTTGCGCGCGAGACGACGTGCGCGGCCGCACTTCGCCCAATCTGTTGCATCGGATTCTTGCGGCACCACGCGCGCGAATGCGTTCAAACGACTTCGGCGCGCGCGAAGACCCGTTGGGTACCAACTGTTATGTACACGTCGGAAAAAACAATGGTTCCCCACAAGATCAGCAAGAGCGCAAGCGCAGGCTTTTTTGAACACCCGTGCTGCGAAGCAATGTGTTTGCAACATGTTTCTAGGACAATCGGTTTTGAACTCTTTGCGGAGCCAAGCGTTTTCGAGCGATTTCGGCATGCGCGCGCGAACACGCGCGCGCATGCATTCCGTCACATTTCTGGCAACGCATTCAAAAAAACTGGTGGTGCTTCATATACGAGTACGCGCGCATAGCATTGTTTGCAGAGGATGAGTGGGGGAACCTTCACCGGCTTGGCCAGACTGATACGAACTCATACTTAGGATGGGCAATGGGGCGGAAACGTATATATACATATATATATATACATATATATATATATATATATATATATATATATTCACACTTGTATACATAAACATATAACATATATATATATATGTACCCATGTGTATGTGTGGAATGCAATACGGAAGGGCGATCCGTTAAGTCCAAGGGGGTAGCTCCTAATACTCTTGGAGAAACGAGAACGCATAAGGAATAATCTATGCAGCGCAGTCTGTGCGGTGCAACGGGCCGGCGGCCAAGGGCGGCCATGAGCGGCGACGAGGCGGCGACGGGGCGGCGACGTTGCGGTGATGGCGGCAACACGGTGGCGGATTCGACAAACGAGCCCAGACGGCGGGCGGCGACGAGGCGGCGACGGGGTGGCGACGGCGGCAACGAGGCGGCGGACCCGACCAACGGGCAGTGGACAGGCAGTCGCGGGGCGGCGGCGCCGGCAAGAAGGCGGCGGGCCCGGCCAACGAACCCAGCTCCTCGAGAGGCAAGTAAGAAGCCCTAGCTGCGAGCACTGCCTGGGGAAGAACGATTAGGGGCCCCCTGAACCATACCAGGCCAAATTTCAGCCGGGGGCTGAGCCAAGTGAAGCGGGATCGAGCGGCGGACTTGAGCGGCTTCATGCGGGGTTTTGCCAGCTTTTGACCTCTCGATGCTAAGGTTGACACCCCGAAGGAATTGCACACGGACCGGCTGGAGGACGCGAGAGCAGGCAGCAGCGTGGGAGGAGGTGTGACTCTTGGTATCGTCTGTGATGAGATAGTATGTCGATGGACAAGATATCTCTTTTCCATCTTGAGCCAAAATGGGTGCACGGAGGAGGGTGTCAGAATCACTCCTCCTCGGGCCTGGCCGCCAACCCGGCCAGGCACGACCTACGTCGTACGCGGGCGCGCCCAAGCCGACGCGCCCATCTCATCAGCTAGGCTGCGGCCATGCCGCGAGCCCCTCACTCCGTCCGGCGCGATCATACCGCCGCCGGCGGAACCTCATCCAGCCCCACAGGTAGCGGAGCATGGATTCGATCCACTCCATCACTTGAAGTCCTTCTGAGTCAAACTCGGCGTCCGATCCCAGATGTTGAGCGTCGCCATGTGTCTCCTCAAAAGGGATCCACCCACGCTCTTGGTCAGCACGTCCGCGACATTGTTCTTACCAGGAACCGCGGCGATCGAGAGGTCGCCCTTGCCCACGCGCTCCTGGATCCACAAGTATCGTGATTGAACATGTCGCATCTTCCCGAGACCCCGCCGTTGGACGTGGCCCCGGGCCGCCGATGAATCCGAGGCGAGCTCTACCTTCAGGTCCAGCCCCCAGTCCGCGAAGAGGCTGTGAAGGCCCAGGCCCACGCTCCCGCCCTTCACCAGGGCGTAGTACTCGCTCTCTCCGCTGCTCAAAGAAACCGTCGACTGCAGATTACTGCCATGCTTGACGACATGATGCCCCAGCATCGCCACGAAGCCTCCGGTGCTCTTCCGGGTGACTGCGCAGCCCGCATGATCGGAGTCCACGTACACCCGGATCTTGTCGAACATCTTCTGCTCCGTGAAAACCGTCACCGTGCTAGGATGCCGCTTGAGGTAGCGGCCAACCCTCTTGAGCATGAGCCAACTCGCCTCCGTTGGCGTCTGCATGGACCTAGCGAGCGTCTTCGATGCCTCTGCCAAGTCCAGCCTGTCCTGAGACAGGTAGGCCACCCTCATGGTGAGGGATCGGAAGCGCGAAGCTTCCGCTGCTCCCAACGCCGCCGACTTCGCATCCATCATCTGCTTGTCGGCGCTGCGCTTCTCCATCGGCGTGTCCACGCCGTTGGCCTTGCTGAGACCCAACTCGTCGATCACGATCTCCGCGCGCCGCTTGTCCGGCTCGATCATCGCATGCCGGCAGGGCCGGCCACCGCCAGGCGGAACTCCCGCGCTGACCTCGATGACCCGATTCAGGAAGACCGCCTGCTTGTCATCGCCCTCGTCGAAGCCTAGGTTCGCAGTCTTCTTGAACTCGTACTTCTTGCCCAGCGTGGCCTCGAAGCTGTCGATGTCCTGCTGCTGAGCCAGCACCGCGAAGTCGTCGCCGTGCCCCAGCAGCCTCGTCTCGTCCACCTCCTTGTAGAAGACCGCTGGGCACGACACGCCCGCCTTGTAGCCGTGTTCCTCCAGCAGCTCCGTGTAATCGCCCTGCCAGATCTTGCTGGCGTCCTGCGTGCCGTACCAGGACTTGAGGAGTAGGCCGCACTTGTCCTCGCCGTACTCCTTGCGACTCTCCTCCTCCAGCTCTACGAAGATCCTCCGCTGCGCCTTCCCGTAGAAGTGCGCCCTGCTGATGTCGAAGAAGCCGATCTTGAAGTTGCCCGGCTTCCTGCCCTTCTTGCGAAGCGACTCCTGAATGTGGAGCGGTGCTTCCCGCGTCCACGTGACCATCAGCGAGACCAGCGACCGCATGGCCTCCAGAGGAGGCATGGCCGAGAAGACCTCGGACGCCTCCAGCTGCTCGTCGGGGCGCTTCTTCGCCTTGATCTCCTTCACGACGAGCCTGCTCCTGTAGTTGGGCCTCTCCGCGTCACCCTTGTTCGTGTCGACCCACTTGAGTGGGATGGGCGGACGCCCAGTCTCGGCGAAAGCCTGAGACCTCGGGACGATCTCGATCAGCTCCTGCTTCTTGACCCACTCGCGCTCGACCGCGCGAGCCTGGGCCACAAGGCCCGCCTCCAGGTAGCCGCCATTGACGTCGTCCCAGTAACTCGTCCAGTCCCCGGGCGGCACTGCCGCGTCCACAGGGACTGGGCCCGACTGCTGCACCTGGGCGGTGCTGAGCTCTCCCACGTCATTCAGCGTGTCCTTGAGCTCCTCCAGCACCGCCTCTACCAACTTCGGTGGATAGACCTTCGCGAACCGCGCGATGCCGCCCACGAGCGTGATGTGGCGATGCCATTCCGCGCGGCCGTCCACATTGCTGCAAGTGCCCTGCAGCCTCCGGGCTAAGCCTGGATGGTTGGTGACCCATCCGGTCTCCTTGCGCACGAACTCCTCCTGACCACTGCGTGGGTTCGTGAGCTTCATGCCCCACCGACACATGAGGCCTTTGACCGTGAAGACTCCTGGATGCGCGACCAGCTCCTTGACGATGTCCTCATTCCACGATCGCGCGCTCCAGGGATGCTCATGCAGGAAGTACCTGCCTGGCTTCCTGAGCTGACGCCAGTAGGCGTCGACTGCCACCTTCAGGTGGTGTCTGGCCTCCTCCATCTCAGCCGCCTCCTGCTCATCGGTCCTGAACTTGGCGCTCAGGCCCCTCAGCAAGCTGAACTTCTCGCATGGAGGGGACCCCGTGAGCAGGATGGGATCCATCCGCTCCTGCTGCTTCTCGAGCTCCTTGACATCCTCGGGGCGCCGCAAGTCCCACGGCGTCCCGTCCTCCTTGAGTTCCTCCAGGTCCGCCGCGAAGCCCGGGCGCAGCTGAAATTCCGCTGCCCGAGCCGAGAACCGATGTGGCGAGTACACCTCGGCCACGTCCACGGCGCCCAGCTGCAACGCCGATAGGGCGATGCTGTCCACCTCTTCGTCGGCGATGTCCACGCCGACGCTGGCCCAATGGCCGCTGACCTGTTCGCGAACGAGCGGGAGCAACTCCGCCTTCGCTCTCGTCAGCACTCCGAGCTCAACCAGCTCGATCGACGCCACATCGAGGGCGAGCACCCGCATGTGCCTCCCCTCACTGGCGTTCCACACGACTGCCACTCCAGCTGGCAGCTGAGGTCCTTCCGCTGGCGCCGGCTGCGCCGCGAGATCCTCCATGTCCACCGGTACCGGCACGTCTGCCGGCTGTGGATCACCGCGCTCGAGGGCCTCCGGCACGTCATCCGGGGCCACCTCCGCCAAGCGCTTCAGCCGCGACCTGGTCGCGGTCATGTCGACATCCTCGGCGGCCTCTGCCGCTCGCGCTGCTCCCGAACTGGAGCTCGCTCCTCCTGAAGGCCGGAGCCCGATGCTACCGGCTGGCTCTCTCGCATGCGCGCCGCTGCGGCTGCCGCGGCTGGCGCTGCTGCCGATCGGGTCGCGGCCGGCGCGGCCGATGCCGCCGCCGCCGCTGCCACCGGCTCTGTAATCCTCCGAGCCGTCTTCGGCGGAGGGGTCCCTGCCGCGGCCGCTGCCGCTGGTCGGACTCTGGCCTCTTGGCCCTGCCTCCGCTCTCGATACTGGCCGGTCCTCTCCCGGCCTGCCTCCTCAGCGTCCAGCGCTTCGAAGATTCTCTTGCTGCACACCGCGTTGTGCGCATGGCCAGCCAGCACCTTGCCGTGCTTGGCGATCGAGACGCACCCTGGGCATCCCGGCGTTGCGCCCAGCCGCTCGACGTCCGCCTTGAGGACGTACATCCTCCTCGGCGCCTGCGGCTGCGGCGACACCACCACAATTGGTGGCGGTCCGACCTCTCCAGGTCCGACGATGGCCCGCGGCGCGCTTGCCGCACGCGGAGCCACGTCCCACGGCAGGCCCTTCAGGCCATCCCAGCCCGCCGTGATCCACTTCTCGCTCTGCGGCAGGCTGCGAAAGCCTACCGCCTTCTTCGCGCCGTCGCTCGTGATGACCATCATCGAGCCGTCGCGCGGGTGGTGGCCGATGTAGCGAGCCTCCACCATCTGCTCCTCCAGCGCGTTCTTCCTCGCGCGCTCCCCGGCGAACCGCGCCATCAAGCGCTCGCCGAAGAGCGGGACCGGCTTCCTCCACTGCCGTCCCGTGAGCCGCTGGAGAGCGGTCTTGCCATCCTGGCCGCGCCGGTATCGGTTGATTACCGATGCGGCGTGCTCCGGCAGGTGCGCTAGCACCGGGTGCTTGTCCTCCACCTTGACGCCCAGCTTGGACTCCAGGTCCATCTTGAGCGCCCGCACCTGCTTCTTAATCTCGCGCACCGTGACCTCGATCTCCCCATTGGCCTGATGATCGGCCGGTGCCGACTCCTGGGGAATGGCCTCGAGGCCAGGAACCTCCTCCACCGCACGCCTCTTGACCAACAGGATCGCCGGCTCGCCGTCGGACTTGTTGACGATCTTCCTGTAGCCCAGGATCCGCAAGAAGCGTGCGAAGAACTTGATGGCGTAGGCGTCGTCGCCCTTCTTCTCCACGAATGTCGCTGCCATCATCTTCGAGCGCCGATCCCTAAGTACCAGCATCGGCATGGTGTCCGCGTCGTCCTGGCCCATGAAGGCGTAGTCGGACGAGACCACCGGCACCGCCGTCTCGTCGTCCTCCGGTGCGCGGAGATGCGGCTGGCCTTGGCCCTTTGCCGCAATACACACGCGACACCAGCTGCGATAAGTCGCGTGTCCCATCGCCTCGTGTTCGTCGATCTCCCTCTGAGAGGGCTCATGAGGTGCCTTCAGCACTCTCGGGCGAGCCTCCTCCTCGCCCTCGTCGGCCTGCTGTCCATCAGGAGCAGCTGGCAAAGCGTCGGCCGCAGCAGCTGCCGCTGGCTGAAAACCCGGCGGTCTCACGTCGGAAGGTCCCGACCCCGCCGCTGCCGCCCCCGCAGCCGATGCCGCCGGGGGCCGTGGTATTAAGTCCTCCAGTGGGCTTACGCCGAGGGCTGCCTCCTGGGGACTGTCTTCTCGAGGATCTCCAGCAGCTCCTCCTTCGACTTGCCGCTGAGGAGCTCCACTAGCTCGGACTTCGACTTCGCCGAAAGTCCCTCCTCGAGAGGAGCAACCGAGCCATGTTGGCCCTTCTTGAGGTAGAAGTTGTAGACGCCCTGCTCGCGATAGACCGGCAGCATCTGGTGCTTCGCCGCCTTCGCCTCCTTCTCGAGCATGCCTACCACGCGCTTGCCGATTGGGCTCTTCTCGTGGAATATCCAGCCGCCATTGCGACCCAGGAATGAACACTGTCCAGCTCCTGCTGCCTGCCCCACCGAGATCAACGGCTTGTGCACGTTCGTCACGCGTCCCTTGAGTGCTCGTAGCACTCCGTACTCGTCCTCCGCCTTGAGCTGCAAGCTGCCCTCGTCCGGGACGAGCTCACCACTGGCCGTACGATACGTGCTGCCGTTGCCCTTCATTCCCGTCGGCGGCGCGAAGCTCCGAGGGAATGCTGAGATAGCTGCACCGCTGTCCCAGTTGAACTTCATCCAGTCGTCCTGCGCGAAGGGGGAGAGGTCGACCGCCGCTACGCCGCGGCCGCTGCCGCTGGCGAGCTCCAGGCAGTCCAAGCTGCCCATGTCCAGAGCGGCGACCTCCGCTTCAGGCTCCTCCTCCAGGCTGCCTGCCGCCTTGCCGCCGGCCTTGCCGCCGCGGCTACCGACTTTACCACCAGCGCTTGCCCCCGTTGCGGATCCAGTTCCAGCCCTCGTACTCGATCCCTGCTCTTTCCTCCAGCAGTCGGATGCCTTGTGGCCCCATCTCTCGCAGTTCCGACAGTAGCCGTCGAAGCGCCCGCTGGTGCTTCGAGGTGCCGTGTGCCCTGAACCACGGCCCGAACCCGTCGGGGATGTGCGGGAGCCTGAGTATGATCCGTTCGTCGATTTGCTCTTCCCCTTCGGCTCCTGAGTCTTGCCTTTCCCTTTGCTCTTGCCGTCCTTGCCCTTGCCTTTGCCTTTGCCTTTCGGGGCTCCGAACGATCCGACGTCCATGTCGTCCGGATGATGCGCCCGCGCACGGATCGATGGCTCCTTGATCTTCACGCCGGTCCGAGCCTCTACGATCGTCATTACCTCGTTCAGACTGTCCTGGAACGTTACGAGCCGATGCTTGTTGAGTACGAGGTGGTTCTCGATGTCCTGAGGCACGAGCATCTCGAGGGCCGCCATCTTGATATCCTCCGGCAGCTCGGCCAGACCATCTTCTCCTTGGCGGCGTTCGTACCTGCCTATCTGCTGGATCCACTTCTCTAAGGCGGACCCCAGCTCGTCCGCGCTGCACTTCGGAGGCGAGATGATCGACCTCAGGATCAGCCTCTTCCTCGGGCCTGTCGTCGGATCCCACCTGCGGTGGAGCTTCCGCCAGGCTTCGAGACCGTTCCCGTCGGGGGCGCCCGTCACGAGGTCGTTGCTCTCGCTGCCGTCCGCCGTCGTGCTGATCAGCGCCGCGTACAGCTGGTTGACCTTGGTCTCCAGCTCTGGAACTCCGTCGTGCACCGCCCGAGCTCCCTCGATCGTCACGGGGCGTTCGGCTTCGGCTGCCCACCGAAGAACAGGGCGAAAACTCTCTCCGTACACGCCGATCACGTAGTTCTCCATCTTGCGATTCCAGGCGCCGAACTTCTCTTGGTCGTCGCCCAGCGTCGTGGGCTTGCCGATCCCCTTGGTGTCTACGAGACCTTGAACGGCTCCACCCGCGCTCGTCGCGCCTCTGATCTGCTCGCCCATCCGCTCGATCGCCTGCGGGATTGCCGCGAGGCCTCCTGCCACCTGCTGCTGAAGACGCTGATTCTCGTTCTCCAGCCTCCTCATCTCGTCGGCTGCCTGACCTATTTGAGCCGCGAACTCCTGCCTCAGCAGTTCGAACTGATGCCGAACCTGCTCGTCCATGTTTGACAGCGTGTCTCTCGGCGAGCTCCTCCCGGCTCTCCGCTATCTCTTGCCTCGTGCGTTCGAGGTCCGTAATCCGGCCTAGGACTTCCTTCTGCGTTCTCTCAACAGCGTCCGATGAGTTCTCCGACGGGTGGTCCTCGATGTACGCGAGGTGGTGAAGCTTGTTGCCCGTCTCCCTCAAGTCGTGCTTGAACTGGAGCTGCTTGCGCCTGGTCTCGATCGCCTCGTCGCTCCTCTTGCCGCGCCTGCGGCCACTCTTCCCGGCCCCTGCCGGTTGACTCCTCCCGGCCCCTGCCGGTTGCTCGGCCGCTGCCGAGCTCGGTGCGGCCGATGCCGCCCTCTTCCAGCCTCGAGCCTCTTGCCAGCTCGCCGTGGCGCCCGCGGGCGCGCCGCGGCAGCAGTGAGTGGCCAGCTCACGCTACCATGATGAGATAGTATGTCGATGGACAAGATATCTCTTTTCCATCTTGAGCCAAAATGGGTGCACGGAGGAGGGTGTCAGAATCAGTCTGGGACGCGCAGAAACATACTAATACTATATGTCCTGCTTGGAGGTGCACGTCTGACCCGAACATGTAGTACACCCATCTGCTTCCCGAGCTGCGTGGGCAGAAAGCGCCCGCCACGACGCATATACTGTAAGAATTTCTCGCGGCGCGCATCGCCCCTGGGGGGGGACGCACACATAGCACTACCAGGTTGGGGTGACGCCGATCGCCTCCTGCTGCAGCCGCTCCAGCCCCTCCCCCTGCGCAGAGGCGCCGCGCGCCTGTACCTCCTTGCTTGCACTGGCTTGGGATCGTGCCGGGGAGACGTAGCACCTGAGCCCCGTAGATGCGAGGTAGTCTGACTGGTCATCTCCCCCCCTCAGCGGCGACCGCCTGGGAGGGGGGGATGGCAATACTCACTACCGACATCCAGTTTGGGATCGACGCGTATATGCACTAAGGTATCTGGGCTCTGTCCCATGGGGACATCGCTTGCTGTATCTGGCCGGCTCTCCGGGCGGCAGGTGTCGAACATCACAAATACACATATGTGTATGTAAACACACTGCGCTTGGGCCGTCATTGCGACGCGGTGGGGCCCGACAGTGCGACCGATACCAATGCCAAGCTGAATGTGGCCCTGGGGCACACGAATACATGGTCACGGGACCCGGGACGCCCTATACGTTCTAATGTGGTCTGGGCTTTCGTCTTCCCCTCCTGAGAGGCGGGGGGCGGAGGGGGGGGTGTCGGGCGGGTGCCCGCGCTTGCGCCCACTCGCGCGGCGTGCGCTCGGCGGGGTGCAGCAGGACGCTGTGCGACGGTGCGCCAGAGCGTGCGCGGCCGTGGCAAGAGGCAGAGGACGAGGAGGAGGAAGAAGAGGACGAGGAGGAGGGAGAGGACGAGTAAGGAGGAGGAGGAGGAGGAGGAGGAGGAGGAGGAGGAGGAGGAGCGGAAAGAGTAGGACGAGGCGGCAGATGCAAGGTTGCAGGAGCTGCGACGCATGGGCGCCCAGCATCTCGAGGGGGGTCTGGGGAGGAAGAGGAGCAGGGAGGAGGAGGGGGAGGAGGAGGAGGTGGTGGTGGTGGTACTCAGCATCTGGTCTAGTCAGCAATGATTATCCCATTACATGTGACCGCTGTGCGCATAGTGAGGGCAGGTCCCCTCGCGAAACTCGAAAGTCGGCACTCCCGTCGCGACTAGGAGGAGGAGGAGGAGAAGGAGGAGGCAGAGGATGCAAAGGAGGAGGAGGAGGAGGAGGCAGAAGAGGAGGAGGTCAGGGGATCCGAGAGGAGGAGGAGGAGGAGGAGGAGGAGGAGGAGGAGGAGGAGGAGGAGGAGGAGGGCGGAGGGAGGAGGCAGACGAAGAGGCAGAGGAACAGGTACACAGGAGGAAGGAGAAGCAGGGAGGAGGGGAGGGGAGGACGGAGGAGTATCGTCGAGGTAGCGGGAGGACGGCGAGCAGGGAGGAGGGGAGGGGAGCACGGAGGAGGATCGTCGAGGTGGCGGGAGGGCGGCGAAATCGCGAAATGGGGGGCAGAGGATGAGGAGGAACCTACTCCGACGGTGGAACCCTGCACGAGTCTCCCAAACGAATCTGGAAGAAATCCTCATCGTCGTCCTTGTGCCTGCGCAGGCCCTCTCTCCTTGCCTCCTCGTCGCCCCTCTCCTTCTCGCCCCTGCGCGGAGGCCCGCCTCCCGTCCCCCTGCTCTGCCTCCTCCTCGTCCTCCCGCCTATGATCTCCCGTCCACCTCCTCCCCCGTCCCCCCTGCGAGTGCGCGCGCGTCGTTTTTTTTCCACCTTGGCAACATCGCCACCTCGCCCGGCAGTGGCTGGATCGCGAAGTCGTTGGGATTCTGACGGCCGCCTCGGATTCCTAACACAACGTGCGGGCCCCATGGGGAGGGGCTCGTGCGGGCCCCATGGGGGAGGGGCTCCTGCTCGAAGCTTCTTCGCGTCTCACTCGCAGACGACGCTCCCTCCCGAGACCTCCTCAATATCCAAGCCTCATGCGCCCAACAGTGACGACGGTTACCCGTTTGACGATGGCCGCCTTGGACTACTAGCATGAAGTGTGGGCCCCAGAAGGAGGGGGGCTTCCGCGCGAGACTTCCTCACGCCTGCCTCACAGGCGAGGCTCCCGCTAAACACTCCCCGACGATTCAGGCACCCGCAGCCCAAACGCGACGTCAGTTACAGGTTTTACCTCGGATTGCCAACATCAAGTGCTGGCCCCCTAGGGAGGGCCCCCCGCTCGAGACTTCCTCGCGACTCGCTCACAGACGAGGCTCCCGCCCGAGACTTCCTCAAGATGCATTTGTAAGTGACTGTGTGGGTGTCTGGATGTGCACGATGACAATGGGGACGCTGACGATGGTGATGACGATGACGATGACGACGATGATGATGATGATGCTGATGCTGATGCTGATGCTGATGATGATGATGATGATGATGATGATGATGATGACGATGACGATGACGATGATGATGACGATGGTGATGATGATGGTGATGACGATGCTGATGCCGATATTGACGATGATGAATGATGACAGCGACGATGGTTGGTGTGATGATGCTGGTGATGATGGTGACGCTAATGCCAGTAATGATAATGCTGATGATGATGATGATGATGATGATGACGACGATGACGATGACTGCGACGATGCTGATGAGGTTGATGATGCTGTTGATATGTTAGCGATGGTGGGGATGATAATGACGATGATGGTGATGATGGTGATGATGCTGGTAACGATAATGGTGATGCTGGTGCTGCTAATCACAATGCTGCTGTTGCTGCTGCTGCTGATGGCGATGATGATGGTGCTGATGATGATAATGATGATGATGGCGATGATCATTATGGGTATGATGATGCAAATGGTGATGGTGATGGTGATGATGATGATGATGGTGGTGGTGATACTGATAATGCTGGTAATGATGCTGGTAATGATGATGAGCGAGCGAGCGGCCTGGAAAGCAAATGGTGCTGCACATAATGATTTTGAAACTGGTGATGATGCTGATGATGATGACGATGACGACGACGATGCTGATGATAATAATGATGATGATGATGTTGATGGTGATGATGATGCTGATGATGATGCTGATGCTGATGCAGTGTGTAAAGGATGTGCTGGAATGCGGCGGGGACGCATGCGGGCGCAGCCATTGCGGCCTTCGGTGGCGCTCCCTATGGGGCCACGTGTCGTGTGAGGGGTGTGCCGAAATGAAAGGCCGCCATGCGAACGTCGCCACTGGCCCCTTCGGTGGGGCTCCCCATGGGGCCACGAAGCGTTGTAGTGCATGGGGGAAACGCATGCGGGCACCGCCACGAGGGGCTTCAGTGGGGCTCCCTATGGGGCCACGAAACGTTGTACCGGGTGGGGGAAGCGCAGGCGGGCACTGCCACTAGGGCCTTCGGTGGGGCTCCCTTGGAGGCCACGTAACGCTGTATTGGGCGGGGGAAACGCATGGGGGCACGGCCACTAGGGCCTTCGGCGGGGCTCCCTATGGGGCCACGAAGCGTTGTACTGAGTGGGGGAAACGCATGCGGACACCGCCACTGGGGCCTTCGGTGGACCCCCCTATGGGGCCACGACGCGCTGTACTGGGCGGGGGAAAGGCATGCGAACCATGCCACCCTGTGGAGCCACGAAGCGCTGTACTTGGCGGGGGGGGAACTCATGCGAACCATGCCACTAGGACCTTCGGTGGAGCTCCTTATGGTGCGACGAAAAATGGGAGGGGTGTGCCGAAGTAGGCGTGGGGGACGCATGCGGGCACACCAACTGGGACCTTCTGCGAAGCTCCCTATGGGGCCACCAACCGTGTGAGGGGTGTGCCGGAATTGGTGTGGGGGACGCATGCGGGCATACCCCCTGGGACCTTCGGTGAATCTCCCTATGGGCCACGTGTCGTGTCAGGGGTGTGCCGACATGGGTGTGGGGACGCATGCGGGCCACTGGGACCGTCGGTGGAGCTCCCTGTGGGGCCACCGAACGTGTGAGGGGTGTGCCGACATGGGTTTGGGGGACGCATGCGGGCACACCCACTGGGACCGTCGGTGGAGCTCCCTGTGGGGCCACGAAACGTGTGAGGGGTGTGCCGACATGGGTGTGGGGGGCGCATGCGGGCACATCCACTGGGACCTTTGGTGGAGCTCCCTATGGGGCCAGGAAACGTGTGAGGGGTGTGCCGACATGGGTGTGGGGGGCGCATGCAGGCACACCCCCTGGGACCTTCGGTGGAGCTCTCTATGGGGCCACGGCACGTGTGAGGGGTGTGCCGACTTGGGTGTGAGGGGCGCATGCGGGCACACACTCTGGGACCTTCGGTGGAGCTCCCTATAAGGCCACGCAGCATGTGAGGGGTGTGCCGCAATGGGTGTGGGGGGCGCATGCTAGCACACCCACTGGGACCTTCGGTGGAGCTCCCTATGGGGCCGCGAAACGTGTGAGGGGTGTGCCGAAATTGGTGTGCGGGGGACGCATGCGGGCACTGGGACCGTTGGCAGAGCTCCTCATGGGGCCACGCATCGTGTGAGGGGTGTGCTGCAACGGGTGATGATGAAGAAGATGATGATGGTGTTGCTGTTGTTTATGATGATGATGCTGCTGATGATGATGATGATGCTGTTGATGATGATGATGATGATGATGATGATGATGATGATGATGATGATGATGACGATGATGATGATGATGATGACGATGATGGAGGATGGTGGAGGGGGATGAGGAGGAGGAGGAGGAAGAGGAGGAGGAAAGGAGAGGAGAGGAACGCGGGGACCGCCTCTTCAAAGCGAGGACCCAACACCACAGGATGGTAAGGAACAACAGACCACATTAGGATGTGTGGAACACAGAATACCATCGCTGCGCAGGCCGAGAGTCGGGGCATGGCGAAGCCCAGGTATCCTGCAGGAGTGAAGGCTCACATCCTGCGGCACGTTTCACGACTTCGAGGTGAACACACCCAGCCCGAGGAGAAGGAAGAGAAGGAGGAGGAGGAGGAGGAGGAAGAAGTTTGAGAAGGAGAAGGGGAGGAGGTTTGACATTGAGGAGGGAGGGCGAAGACGTCCTTCTGCTTGGCACCGTGCTGCAGCAACGACTCCAGCTGCCTCGCCACCACGACGTCGGGCGCCTGCCGGAGAAGGCCCATCGCCTCCGACGGGCTGGCGGGGCAAGCAGGAGCAGCAGCAGGGGAAGGAGCAGCGGCGGCAGCAGGCGCAGGAGCGGCACGGGGAACAGGCGAGGGGTTGGGGAAGGATTGGCCGCAGTAGCGGCGGAGCGGAGGAGGCAGTGTCAGCTGCTGGGAAGTGGTCCCCCCCCCGGCCTGGCATGGCATGTCCCGCCCGCGGGGCCGAAAAACAAACACCTTCAGGGGCACAACAACTTTACCACCGATATGAACATAGTCGTCGGATGGAAAGGCTGCAACATCACAAACGTTCGGAGATCCGCGCGGATTTCTTGAATCGGCGCTGGACCCCCTCCAGGGGTGACGGCGGATGCGCCGCCAGGACGGGCCAGCGCCGATCCAAGAAATCCGCGCTGACCCCCAACAGCTTATGTCTGTGCAATTTGTGGTTCCTCGAGTCGCCTCGTCGAGGCCGTCGGCAAAATGACGAGACCAGGTCTGAAATGAGAGGCGAGCTCCCGCTGCAAACGTCTCAGAGAGACACGGCCGCCAAAACTCGGGCGAAAGTCGCCAAAAAACGTATGCAAACTAGAGTCCTCGCACACTCGAGCGTTTTGCTTCCCGGACCATTCTCTCCCATCCCAACACCCTTTGCCACTCCCCTCACCTCACCGCCCCAATTGTACCCCCTCACTCTCCCCTTCCCCCCCGTCTCCCCCCCGAACCCGGCTCCCCTTCCCCATGGCCCTTTCACGCCCCTCCCCTCCCCCCAACCCCTTCCCCCTCCATTCCCCCTCCCCCCTCGAATCCAATCTCTCCATTCCCCCCCGCCTGCCCCCGCCCCCCCGCTCCCCCGAGCGTCGTCCCCGAGCCTTGTCCAGCAGGGCGGACACCATCGGCCCCGCGGAGTTGGCGCGCCGCTCGAAGCCCATGTCCAGCCTGGCCAGGGCCGTCCGCGGCCACAACACAACCAAATAGCGGCCAGAACCGACAACGAAACCAAACCAGACCGAGACCGACAGGCCCGAACAGCCCACAAGAGCGCAGCGACGCAGCAACGTCACCCGGGCAACGCCCAAAGGCGGTAACCCATAGATTGGTTGCCACCTCATCGAGGAAGCATGACCCCCCTGGACCCCGCCCCGAAAACGCCGATACATCGGCGACGCATCGGAGCTGCACCGATGATGCATCGTCGACGTCGGCGGTGCATCGACGACGTCGGCGCGAAGCAAGTCGGACTCCGCATCGGACCGCATCGGCGATGCGGCGCCCTCCCCTCCTCCACCTCATCATCTTCCTCCCCCCTCCTCCTCCTCCTCCTCCTCCTCCGCCTCCTCCTCCTCCTCCTCCGCCTCCTCCTCCTCACCCTCCTCCTCCTCCTCCTCCCCCTCCTCTTCTTCGTCCTCCTCCTCCTCCTCCTCTTCCTCCTCCTCCTCCTCCTCCTCCTCCTTCCTCCCCTCCTCCTCCTCCTCCTCCTCCTCCTCCCCTCCTCCTCCTCCCTCCTGCCCCCCGCCCGCTCGCCCGCCCGCCCGCCCGCCCGTCCGCCCGCCCGCCCCCTCCTTCCCCCCCTCCCTCCCTCCCGTCCGATCGACCAGGACAGGATCTATCACTTTGGGGGTTCCTGAAACCTCCTGGGACCTCCTGGGGGGCTCCTGGGGGTTCCCGGGGCCGCGTTGTGGCATCCTAAAAGAACTCCTTGGTTTCGTGGACACTCCTGGGGCCTCCTGGGGGTTCCTGAGGCCCTTTTGGGGTTTCCTGGCGTTCTTTGGGGGCCTCATGCGACCTCCTGTGGTTCCGTGGGGCCTCCTGGAGCATCCTGGTGCGTTCTGGCGCCTCCTGGGACCTACTGGGGGGGGAAACAGGATAATGGCGAGGGCCTTCGATGTCATCGTCATCGTCATCGTCGTCGTCGTCGACGCCATCGTCGTCGTCGTCGTCGTCGTCATCGTCGTCGCCGTCGTGGCCGCGCGCGCACAACGACGACGACCCCGTGGGGGCCACGAGAGTGGCGACAGGAGGCGTTCCAGCGGGCCCCGCCAGAATGTGCGCCACTAGGGGCGAGACCCCTGGGGCCCCAGAACCGACCTCACGAAACACAATGTGACTAAAATGTGTCACTGCGCCTTTTGTATATATATAAATAAAAAGCGTCCGGGGAGTCCTGAGAGCACCTCGAACGTCGTCGCCGCTGTCCTGGAAACGTCGGGCGCGGATTGGGGGCGTGAGGCCCGTTGTCGTCGCCGCCGCGGTGCGATCGTTCAGAAGTTCGAGCACGAACAATGGCAAATGTGCAGGGGCCGCCCACAATCGCGCCAAACGCATTAGTTGTTAAGCATTTGTTGCTGCGCCGACAAGTCTCAACATGTTTTCGACGCCCCCGGGCCGCCCCGATGTTGTAAATATAGTCGGTAACCTAAAAAGGTTGTTGCATGATTCTGCGCGGACCCACGGGGAAACCCACCGGCATTTATTTCTCACAGTCAGACCCCCGAGGAAACTGCGCAAAACTCACCCACCAGAGCCGGTGGACCTCGCCCCCGACGGCCGTTTGAAATTCCCGAGGCCTCGACGGCGCCATGTTTGATGTGTATGCGTTTGGCAAAATATGCACACGTGGAACACACGACGCCATCGCCATCGTATGGTATTTTATGTATACACATGGGCTGTTATATTTGTATGTACGTCTGATCTGTGTAGGTGTACATATCAACTCTATAGATCAGCATATCTACACATATATGTGTAGGCATACGAACGCACATATACATCACACACGTTTGCGCGTACATGCCTAGCTCTATACACACATGTACCCGTGTACACGAATGGCGAATAAAATAAACCAGTAACATCAATCGCCCTATTCGCACGCATCCAATAGCTGCAGCTAATCAAATGCGTTTGGTACGATATCCAGAATAGAACACACTACGCAAGCGCAATTGACTTTGCATTTCATGTATACACGTAGACTTGTAATTGTATGTACATGTGCGATCCATATATGTTGTATGTATATGTATGACATGTGTTGTGTACATACATATATATATATGTATGTACATAATAAATACAGTTGTACATACATTGTATATACATATGTCTGTCTGTATGCATGTACGCGCACACTCATAAACACACGATCGCGCATACATGCCAAACCAACCTAACTACACACCTGGAAACACGCGCAGTACTGGCTAATCCAATAAAACAGTCGCATCCATCGCCCTACTCGCGCACTTGTGTTTGAACATCTTTGAACACGCGGTCGCGTCTACATACCAACTTAACCTAAGTACGCACACATTTGGAAGCACGCGCAATAACGGCGATCAACTACAGCAATAACAGCAAACTCCCGAATCGCGCAATTGTAACTGAGCTATATGTATACACATGGACTTAAATATCAGTTTGCATGCACGACACACGATACATCCACACTATAGCTGTCATACTACATATTTTATGCATATATGTATGTGTGTGCGCAAATGCACGCACAAATATAAACGCGCGATCGCGCGCACATGCTCAACTCATCTAAATGGCACATAAATACGGCAACGCGAACAAGAATGGCGATCACACTATTTCAGTCGCATCAATCGCCCTGTTCGCGCGCATCCAATGACTAAAACTAATCACAGCCCCGAAGGCGTCCACGCATGATTTGTTTCTGAATATAGGAGGCGAGCGCACATCGCGAGGGCTCGAGACGGCAAAACCGCGCCCCGAGCGCATCAGAATGCGGCCTCCTGCGGGACGGCGCCCCCACGCCTGAAACAGGCGAAGTGAGAGGCCATCGCTAAATTCACTCTGCAAACATCAACTGATATTCAACTTCATTACACTGGAGGCTAGAAGTCCGCCAGGCGCGCAAGCGCGGGCGGAGAGAGAACGAGGGGGACAAAAGGGCAAAAGGGGCCGCGCGACAAACCCCCGCGACCCAAAGGGCCACTGCCATAGACACACAGCGGCAACCCAACGCCGAGAAGCGGGGAAGGGCGAGAGGGCGGCGTCGCACGTGAACGGCATCGCGAACGATGCCATCGTCGTCGCCAGACCATCGCCGTCGTGGCCGTCGCGGCCGCGCGCGCCCAACGGCGACGACCCCGGGGGGAGGCGGGGGGGCGGTTCGCAGAGTCCTCGACGGCCCCGCGGGCCTCCAGGATCGGCCAAAGAAGCCTCCGAGAGGGCCCCACGACGGCCAACGCGCGGGACGCGGGGGAGCCCACGGGGAGCCCTCCAGACCCTGCGCGCATCGCGGCACTGGCGGCACACGACAAGACGATGAGCGCGCGGGACCTCACTCGCGTAAGGGAGGAGGGAGGAGGGAGGAGGGAGGAGGGATTACGCAGCCTCGGAATCCCACCCAGAGGACCCAAAGGTGCCAGCGGTGCGGCGCTTGAGCCCAAATATCAGGCGCATTGATGTTTTGCAGCGCTCAGCACTTCCGTTCGTCTTCCCCGTGTGGTGGCTAGCTTCCCCTGGCTTCTCGTGCTTCCCCCCTGGGGTTCAGACCCTGACGCACAAATGATACGGTGCGCTCACTCGCCCAGGCTTCGCCTGCCACGCTTTTGCACATCGGTATCGCTTCAGTGACGGCCTTTCTTCCGGCGCATGCCGCACACCATCGCTTTCCTGGCGTTTCCTCGCGTAGTCGCTCTCCTGCTCGGGGTATGCGCTTCCACTCCTCCGTGGCTCCGCCCAAACTGCGTTCTAGGGTGTATCCTAGCGATGTGCCTTGCCCCTCTCTTCCTGTGTGAGCTTTGCCTCGCCTCCTGCTCGCTCGTCGGTACGTCCTGCAGCTTCGCACGTAGGCATGGTCAGACCGCCGCGCTTTCATAATCAGTGCAACATTTCAGTGTGCCCACACCTGATTATCAATTAGGGGCATGGCGTCTCCCAACTCTCTTGTCTAGCCAGCCCCATTCGCCTCCAGAATACTTCTTTATACTGCTGCTGTAGACGTTCCGACGCCAGCTAGCCACTCTGGAGCACGCCTCGAGTGACGTCCGTCGTCGCACACACACACACACAAAAACATATACACACACACACACACACGCACACTCCCCCACCCTCCCTCCCTCCCTCCCTCCCTCCTCCCTCCCTCCCTCCCTCCCTCCCTCCCTCCTCCCTCCCTCCCTCCCTCCCTCCTCCTCCTCCTCCTCCTCCTCCTCCTCGTCCTGCTCCTCCTCCTCCTCCTCCTCCTAAGCAAGCGGGTCCGCAGGGGAACGGGTCCCGGACCCCGGGCCTTCCCCCGGGACCAGCGCTCCTCGCCCCGAACTGTGGCTTGGCGGGCCCCGGGGCCCGCGGAAGGCACCGCGAGCCCCGAGAACGGCGAACAGCCTCTGGACCCGCTTTCGGGTCGGGCAAAAGGGGGGGATAGCAAAAGGGAGGTTTGAGAATCAGCTCACGGAGCTGATTTTCCGGGCGCCTCCCGGCGCCGGGAGGCGCCCATGCATCGAGGAATGGGCCCCTCGGTGAGGCTGAAACCAGCTGCATGCAGCAGATTTCGTAACCCCCCCTTTCCCAATCCCCCCCTTTCGCCTGGCCCGACGCTTCCTTCAGGACGCGTTGCCAGACCTCGGATGTCTTGCTGCTGTTCATTCCGTACGGGCCCCCCCAAAACTCTGGACCACCTTCAAGAGGGACGAGATCTTTTATAGTCCCGGGAAGTTGTGGGTGGCGGCCCCTGGGCCCAGCGGGGACGCCGACAAGGACGAAGGGCATCCGTCTCGTGTTTGTTCCATTGCGCTCGAGGCTTGGATGTGATTCATGGCGCTGCGTTCCTCGCCGGCGTCATCCTCGAGCCGCGCCAGGCCAGAGGTCGACACGAAGGGAGCGGAAGCTGGCGGCGCGCACAAAGAAGTGGGGATGGGCGAGGGGGAAGGCTCAGATCCCGGCCAGAGGTCGACCCAAAG